CCCCAAAACCCCAAAACCCCAAAACCCCAGATCATGAAAATAGAAGGATATAAGAGACCCATAAATAAATAATTTAATATGCTAATATATTTCAAGATACATTGCAAGAATTTAACCTTCTAATCAAAAGATTTGTATCGTTAATTCTAATTTCAGAGGTCCGGCCTCTGCGGAGGATATCCTAAGGTATCTTCCGTTCCATTAAAAATGAAAAGTTTGATTAATCTTCTTATTATCAACAAGTATATCTATGGTTTATTCAGATAAAATTGCTGGTAACCATTATTTACTGAGAGAAATTATTATAAATTGTATATAAAATTAAAATTAAAATGTAGTTTTTAGTCAGGCTATTATTTATCATTAAAATCTACAAAAGATATAAAAAAATTGAGGGAATTATCTATCTATAGCTGAGGTATAAGCCTATCATTAGTCACATAGTCACTGTTCATCTTTGTTAAGAATTCTGATTTTACCACCAATGCTTCTTCTGATATTATTCAAGTCCTCAATATCCCCAAGTTTGCTTTAGCCAACACTGACCTTCTTCTCTGTGCAAGAGAACATCACTCTATGATGTTAATGATGGCCAGCCTCATCATCCTGACTGCTAAAGCTAAGCCATTCTTAATCCTCTTCATTGAGTTGATACATCTCTCTTCTCTTTCTCTTCTTTGACCTAAACTCTGTCCTGAACTCCTTGATTTCTATGTTATTTATAGAGCTTGAAAGTAATTAAGGATTTTCCTAGGCTGCTGTAGTACAATGATTTTCAATATTAATTATTCTCTATTTATCGAAAGTTTCATTGTTGAGCTTTTAGGAATTCGCAAGTTCTTAAGAGAATTACCTGCTTTGATACTTAGCATCCCTCAGTAATCTGTCAATCTCTTCCTTCAAGATGGACTTCAACTCCAAGTCATCATTGGAGCTGAAGAAGTTAAAAAGCTTTTCGATCTTATCTATAGTTTCTAAAAGATTATTATTGTTCTGATTTTCAAAGATGCTATTTTAAGTAACGGAATTATTATGATGCTTCAAGATACTTTTGATCTTATCTTTTTTAAATTTGCCATAGTCAACACTTGACAGAAGCCAGCTTAAAGTCTCATCTGATTAGATTTAATAGTCCTCCTTAGCAATTTCTCCGTTTTAATCATACTTTTATTGAGGTGTTTATTCTTAATTAGGAGTGACAGTATTCCTTTCCTATTATTGATTTGAATTGCAGTTATGATGGTTTTATTCATCAACAGCGAAATTGTGAGCAGCAGAAGCATGATTTATATTTGTACTAACAAGCTACCCTATCTATCAGTTTAAGAGAGTTATTTTCGATTCAAGAACTGAAATCTAATCTGCAGTTACAATCTGGGATGGATCAATCATTAGTGGTTACACCTTTGATGCATGCTATTTAGATTAATTAGTTTTATCTATGTTCAATTTCTTCTCATTTTCCTTGTTTATCGTAATAGGCTTCTGCAATGAATGAGGAATAAGCTTTTTAGATGCTGAAATATCTCTAATGGATCCTCTGCCATCTGGTTTTGCAAATGTATGAGTCTTAGCTTTAGAATTTTAAGCTGACTAAAATCTAGGCTTTTACTATATAACTTGATGAGTAAGTGGTGCTTTTGTTTGTACAGATAATTTGCCAGCTTAATCATCAATCTTTGATGATAGATTATTATGAGATTTCATATTTATAGTAATCTTTATTTATAATTTAACGATATAATATCATTGACATTATAATTATATATTGCGGGGTTTTGGGGTTTTGGGGAGATCGGAAGAGCGTC